TCTCTCTCTCTCTCTCTCTCTCTCTCTCTCGTTCTCTCTCTTATGCTCTCTCTTAACACTCCATTCACGAACCTTTTAATAGAAAAACATTTAGTTTCAGAAAATAAAATGAAATTTTATTTCGAAAATGAAAATTATGTGAAACACAACTCACATCACATGAAAATATCATTATTCTTGTAAAAAGTTTTTATTTTTTTCTTATAACTAAATAAATATTTATTTAAAAACGGAAAAACTTTTGTTATTTTTGGTATTGAAAAATATAATCCATTTTTATGTGTTATAAATCCTTTTACAAACAATTAAATTACATTCAAGTCAAGTAAAATATATTCATTAATTTAATTAACATTTAATTTTAAGTAATTTGTTAACTATTAGAGAGCGTCTATAAAATAATATCAAATTTTGTTAATTACTTAATGGAAAACAATATAATTTTAAAATTATTAATTTAGATCTCAAACATTAACACATAATATACTTACAAAACATCCATATATTTAGCATAAGAATAAATAAACTCTCTTTTGGGGTAAAAAAGTAGTCAAAAATTTAGTAAATTTTACACAAATATAAAAGAATTGCATTTAAATGAAAACACGATTTGATTTCAATCATAACTCTTCGTGATTGGATGGCGAAGGAGTGGTCGTGTGGTCGGCGTTGTATTTATGCCAGAATTCGGGCTCAATTAGGCTTAAGTACTGGTCCTGGTATTCGAGGAGTTCCTCTTTGGACAGCTTTTCGTCTTGATTTTGGTCACCCGATTGGATGAGACGCCAGGACTCGGCCTCGTGTCGGTCATACGTCGGCACTAACCACTCCTTCAACTCATCTTTGCTTAAAACGCTGTCTTTGTTTTTATCTAAATATGACGTGAAGTGGTTTTGTTGGACCTAAACGTGCGATCAAACCATACAATTATTGTTAAATTAGTTAATTATCAATAGTATTCAGGACTCATCTCAAACAATACTAAATGAATCAATCGATTGAATACCTGAGCAAAGTTTGGATCACTTCTCTCTTCTTCGGACGACATATCGTTGATGTGAGTCATATACTCGTCGAGCGATATCTCTCCGTTGGCGTCGGCGTCCATGTCTTCCATGGCTTCGTCCACTAATATCTCTTTGGTTCGGTCCGACTCTTCCGGATGGACAAAGTCTTTGTACTCGTCTTTCACGAGCACAGAGTCGCTGTTGCGGTCGGCGTACTTCCAGCGCCGTTCAGCCCGTTTGTACATATGCTTCATATTCTTGAAGTTGGGGTCCGACTCGTGGGCGGTCTCCTCGTCGCCGATATTGTCCGGATAAGTCATATTGACGTAAACATCCCAATGAAGCACTTCCTGCTGCTCCGGGTTATAGCCCTCCCATGAGTGCACTTCCTGTACCTCTCCGACTCGTGGGCGGCCTCCTCATCGCCGATATTGTCCGGATAAGTCATATTGACGTAAACATCCCAATGAAGCACTTCCTGCTGCTCCGGGTTATAGCCCTCCCATGAGTGCACTTCCTGTACCTCTGGCTGATAATAAGACCACTGCTGCTCAATGTTATCGGCGATCAACTTGTTGTGCACCACTTCTATCCACGCCTTCAGTTCGTGAACGTCGACAAAGCCGTCGCCGTCTTTGTCCATCTGGTCGGCGAACAGTTGCGAGAGATGGGCCGCGATATCTTCGTGACTCGGCTGAGCGCTTGGCGGCGGTATCTGATCCATATGCAGGTGATTGTCTAACTCGTCGGCCGACTGATGTAGCGACGACTCGTGTCCGCTCACGAGTGTCGCCGCGATTGAAACATTTAGTATTGCGATCACTAGTAAACGATTCATTGCTTTTGCGATTGGCGTCGGTTTTGATTCGCAAAAATTTGGATATAATTTAAATAACAATTCACTTTCAATGGACCAAATGCCGCGATTGAAACATTGAGTATTGCGATCACTAGTAAACGATTCATTGCTTTTGCGATTGGCGTCGGTTTTGATTCGCAAAAATTTGGATATAATTTAAATAACAATTCACTTTCAATGGACCAAAACGTCTGCAAAAATATAATAAACAATAAAATTAAATGTAAAAATTGACGGAAATTTATTTCTATATATTAAACATATGCACAAAAATAGGTAAAAAAATTATCTATAAAAAAATTGGCCACAATTTGAATGTCAGATTCAAAGCTATCGTTAGTAGTTATGATTAAACTATCGATTTATACATCAAATGCATAACTGAATGCTAAACACAGAGACATTGATGCAAAAGGATTGACAGCGTTATCGCTGGCGATGGTGTCAATAAACCCGTGATGTTTGGGTTCAGTTAATACAAGCTCTCAATGTTCTTCATCGAGAGATAATAGTTGTATCCATTGTTTAAATATCTTATACAACAACACAAACCCCTCTC